GGACTTCCTTAGATGAATTTAATGGATAAACAAACAGTACAAGAAACTAATAAAATATGACACCTTTATTAAATTATGTTTTAGATTTGGATTAAATTTTGTTTCTTCTCAATTAGTACTTAAAATGTGTTTAAGTAAACGTCCTAAAGCTCTTCGTTCTCCCTCTCTGTATTTTGTCCCCTTTCTCTCTCGCTATTGGTAATTTTTTTTTATAATGTAGAAATTAAACGGGAACAATTGCAAATGTAAGATTTCTCAATTATCATCTAGGCGTCAATATTTCAAGTTACAAAAGCATCCTCTCACATGCGAGCTAAGGTTGCAGAAATTTAATTTTTCCTAAGTCTTATAGTAGTGGGAATCTGTGCACGGGGGTCACTTTTTTTGTTTTTTTTTTGTTCATTCATTATTAGTCTTAGTCATATAATCTTTCAAAATAGCTGACGCTTACTGCACGAATTTGCGTTGAGAGCGAATTTTTCATGAATTCATACCTTCATTTTACAAAATTTAAGAATTCAAATTTTCAATTCGCAAATTCGCACTCTTACTTACTTTTATACTTATTCATTATTACTTAAATTTTATTTGAAAAATATTGGCTCATACATAAAAATGCATATCAATGATATTTGTAACCTATATTGCTATTTCAAGACCTTATAATCAATATATATTTAAAAATTAAATAGTTTCCCACATAGTTGTGCATGCTCAGCACATGAATTGACGTTGAAAGCGAATTTTTCATGAATTCGTGCTTTTATTTTACAAAATTCTCGAATTCAAAATTTCAATTCACAAATTGGCGCTCTTACTTATTTATATACTCATTATTACTTAAATTTTATTTCAAAATATTGACCCATTTATAAAAATACATATCAAACTAGAATGATATTTGTAACCTATAATTGCTATTTCAAGACCTTATAATCAATATATATTTAAAAATTAAATAGTTTTCCACATAATTGTGCATGAAACTTAATTTTTTATATTTTATTTTTATTAACTTTTATGGTTAAATGTTTGTCTTGATGCATATAATATGACGCTCTCAAGGTGCCCCAACCTCAAATATTTGTTGTTTTATCGCCTTTTCACTATTGCTCTATGTGATCTAGTTATTAGTTCAAAAAATTCAATCTGCTATTGTTAAAAGTGAAAGACTATAACGATATAGTTTGTAGATCTTATTTGAGAATCTAATCTATTGTTGCTTCAACTTTAATATTGTAAACTCAAGCGCAGGTTGAGCGAAGTAATATAGTTCTCGGAAGACCGAGGTCGAACCTTCAAGGAATTGTAACAAGAAAGTAATCACACAAATACTAAAAAAAACTTAAAAGTAACTGATTTGTTTAGGAAATTGTTGAGCAAAGAAAGTTGATTTAAATAATTAAAACAGTAATAAAAATACTAGAGCATCAGGTACTCTCTCTCAATTTCATACAATAATGATCAAAAACTCAAATCTTAACTTGAGACAAGAATCAGATATCGGTTGATTTGAGTAACAAATCAAGTAAGAAAATCAAAAGTTATAATCAAAAGATTATTCAGGAACCTGAATAATCATCCAATTATATTATTTTATGAAATAATAATAATTACTTTAAGCGTGGAATAACCAGTTATTTACTCGCAGAGAAATTCAAGCAATCGATGTACATGACACAACGACTCAAAGATTTTTACAGAGCAAAAACTTTGCTATAAGATCAGAAGTTAAATTAACAAAATATCATAAATTATTAAACTCAGAATCAATAACATTATCATACTTCATGAAGAGATTCTCTCCTAACCCTAACTTAGCCTTCTAGCCAGACATGACGAACTAAAATCAAAACAAAAATATGAAAAAAAGAATAACCATAATCCTAAACAAGAACCCCTATTTATACTAAAAATAAATTCTAAGTACAGGTTGAAAATATAAGGTTGATTTGGAAGGAATTCCTTTCCAAAAAGAAGTTTTGTAAGGTTAAATCTCGTGCATAAAATTTTGGGGCGTGGGTACAAAATCTATCCAGACTTCGAGCTTCAATTTCTCATATTTAGAGGCTGAATCACGAAAATTTTGTGAAACACACTTTTGTAACCCTTGAAGTCTTCTTTTTAACCTCTAAAAATCAAGTAAATCGGATATCAGAGGCAAAAGTTATAACCAAAATACTGAAAATGTGTCAAATCCTTATTCTTTTAGAATATTTTCCTAATCCAACTCTAAATGAATTTTCTTTCAACTTGAACTCTTATAAGGATTAAATTGCTATCATATTTTCAAGTTTTCCTATCTCAATCTTGACTCTTTAATCCTTATTAATGACGATTCTTCCTCTAGTGATTGATTCACTTGCATTATCCATTATTACTTTAAATCAACTAATTTACCTGTAAAATAAACCAAACAACTAGAAAAAGTATCAAACTAGAAAATCAAGGAATTTAACATATTTAATCACAAATAATATATAATTAATCAATCATTAAATATAATAAAATAACAATTTTGATGATTAACAATGGGTCTTTAACTTTGAATGCAATCTATTTTACTAAACCAACAACAGTAATGCAATAGGTCTCCAAATTCAATACAATGTTTTATTATTGTTGTTAAAAGTTTTTTTCCCACTGCACCAAATTTCTGGCTCTCCCCATGTGTACATGTTTAGTCATTTTTGTTGTCTTAGGGCTTTCTTTAGTTGGCCTAAATTTTTTATTAGAATTTGTTGGTTTTAGGTTCTTAATTTGACAGTCATATTACTTACAATTTTTTTTTTCCTGCAAATGACCATCTCTATTTTTTTGGGACTATAAAATGTCATGTTTGATGTTTTTTGGCTGAGTTTCAATAGTATACTATGTTTAATTCTTAGATTGCTATTTTAATATGTAATGATAATACAAGTAATATATTTTGTCAAATAAATTCAAATTAAAAGGTTACGAAAATCAGTTATGCAACCGAATTGTTATAATTAGTCTTTGATTGTGTATTTTCAATTTTGATCGTGTCAAATGAGTTTTTTACTATCGAATATGCCATAGTAAATGTAAATATATAATTTTCCTTTTATTCATACGGAAAAAAATTAACTATGTGCCCACCCAAAAATATATTTTTGGCTCTGCTAAAGTTTATACTCACGTAAAACATTATATTTTTTGTTTTGTATGACTTTTTTAGTGCTTTCATTTGGGATTAATTGTTAGTTCTAATTTGATACAAATTTATATTTTTTTGGGAATTGGATGAAATATATTGTTATTTATTTTGGATCACACGATCCTCGTTTAAAACTAGGTTTGTAGCCTCATTGGACAACTGAATTCACTTGATTGCATGAAATTTTGAAAAATTGAATCCACCATTCTTTTTGACAAAAAGAGTTACAATTAAATAGACGGAGGTACAACTCTATGTGCAACACATGGCAGTGGATAAGACTCACCTGAGTGTAATACTAGGTAAAGGGCCCCCTTTACCAACCTATATAACTCCTAGGTCTCACCAAAACACAATGCTTGTGCCTTTTAGCAATGAGAGAGAAAATAGTTAGAGATCTATGAAAATCATACTATATAATTGTTTTTTTTTTCCTTTTTTATAAAATAGTGGTTATATATTTATATTTGCCCTAGATGTGAGAATGTTGACAATGATAGTTTATCAAGGTTTGTATAACAACTAATGCAGCAAAACCACAATATCCTCGAATATTGAGTGGACTTTAAGAGAATTTGAAAACATGGCTCTTTGACGAATTCTTTAGATTTGAATAGTCTCTCTCTTTAAAGAGAGTTGTACATTCGTAAAAGCATGATAACGTCCCCTAAATCACCACATCTACATGCTAGTGTAATGAGCTAACTGAGAGCAACACTAACATCAAATCACCATAGCTTTTGAGTATTGAGTTTTCTACTGTTGTCAAAATCAAAGCAAACGCAAAAATGAGATATCTTTCCCATAAGACTCATAAATAACATAAAAACCTGTGTGAGTTCTGTAAATTAGAATGAAAAATCTCCCATGGTCGTCATGAAACATCGTCGCTTCATGATTATCCAGAAGAAATAATTTACTTATGCTTAAGAGTATAACAGTAGCATCACAGATTGTAAACAACATGAAGATAAAACAGTAGTATGAGATGAAATAAATAACTCTCACTCAGCCTATTGGATAGCCAAAACGTTCTGTAACGCGGTTGATGGCCTAAACCAGGTTGTAATACTTTGGTAAGTGTTGATATGACATCTTGGGTAGGAATAAAGATTCAAAACTCATTGCTAGCTATGAAGAAGAACAATAACCCAACCATGTAGGCTTGTCCTTCACTACACAAAATGGTTCCATTTTCAGTTGCTGAATCTCATTTTCCAAGTAAAAATAACACCACCCTTGGAAAAGAAAGATAAAAAGAACAGTAGAACAGTCAAACTGAACAAGTAAAAATGGTGCATCTCATTCTCCTCCACTACACAAAATGGTCTGGCCTGTGATTCATTTTTATTAAGTCCATTTACGTTTACTGAATCTCAATTTCCAAGTAAAACATAACACCTTCCTTGAAAAAGAAAGAGAAAATGAACAGTAAAACTTCAACTCAAGAACGTAAAACAAAACATAGAGAAAAGAACCAAAATTAAATTTCATATTAGCTGAAAGAAATTTGAAGAACCGGATATCCATTCTTAATAAGATACTGATACCGAAATTCAATGTAGTTATATTAACCCTAGCCCGAAACAGCCAGGGGGAGGTGGGGTGCTTTCCTCTCCCCTGTGCCACAAAAAGAGCATAAAGGTTAACAAAATCAACCCTACATAAACTTGAGATATTGCTGCAGTTTCTGATGATTGACAATGTCATATCCATCGGCTACAATAACAAATTGAATTTATAGAGGAGACCTAAGGAACTACAACTTCTGATCTGTGTACACATCAGCTAAATGTGAATACACCTGCATCAAAGGATGGGACTATGCTTCCCCCAAAAAGCAGCCAATGTGATAAGCCTGAATGACATCTATGGTCTGATCCTTTGTTGAGGAATTCTGATGGGCTGTTAAAATTTTATTAGCCGAAAAGTTTTGGTAAGGACGATGAACGGGAGGTAACAGTAAAGCTGATTGTTTGTCCATGGCCAACAACCGTCCGCACTTACTGCACCACAAATATTGTAAAATTCCTAAATATCTGATGGCAATGGCATAACTCACAAGTAATTTAAAAAGGAGAAAATCTCACCTGCAAACTTTGGTGAACAGAGTTTGGTAGCTGCAGATCCAGTGCTACAACACCAAAAACAGAACATTTTGAATTTCTATATGCTGAGAATGCAATGAATATTGAAACATAGTACATCTTCATAAGTTGTATAAGATTCTACCAGCAGAGAATGTAAAGCTGTTTCAGTTTTCATAAAATAATGCAGAGCCATGGCAGCATGTTCCTGTGACAAGCAAGAATAAGAGTAAGAACTGCAAAGTTTTACAACACATGATGCGTGGAACAACAGCTCATATGATAATATTACAATTTCTGACAAATTAGAAAAGGATGTTACCGTGATGTGCCTAAATACATGATGAACTGAACGTCCCCTTGCATGTATGTAGCTGCCACCCTTTTCAAGCAAACCAAATTAGTGAATCTTACAACAGCAGTTTAAATGCCAAAAAAAAAAACCAAAAAGAACAAAGGAAATGGGAAAATCATGTCAACAAACCAAAGTCAACTATTACACAATTAAAGTCAAGGACGACCCTCATAACCACATACATTGTGAAGATGACTCCCCCACAAGGGCGGCACTGCACAAAATTGAGTGGTGTAATTAATTGATACCACCCAATTTTGATAATTTTACATACATAATAATTAAAACACATAGGCCAGTAGTTGGATTACCATACTGGCTTGATCAAAACAATTTAGAAAGTGGGTCTTTGGGTGTCACAGCCAGAAGTCCAACTGCCTATACACCCTAAACAAAACTTTAGCGAGAGAGAGAGAGAAGGGGAGCAGTTAAAGAGAACCTAAAGAGGGATGCTCAAAACCCAAGAGCGATTTTCTTTATTTCCTCGCACATATAGCTTTGAGATTTATCCTACCTTTGCTTGCTCCAACTTCGCTCAAATCTGATATGTTTAATTGATATATCACAAAAATACCTATTCATAGCTTCTCCCATTGGATTTTTTTTTTTTTTTGGCATCTTCTTCAATTCCTGTCTTTTTAATCTGTTTAATCTTTGATCTAGGGTGGGCTGATTTTTATGTGTATTCTAGTATTTAGATTGATTGAAAAATCAATGAACACTGGACTGCGGTCTGTGAGTTGAAAATTGAAGGGTCTTGCCAAAGGTTTGTTTTTGCAAAAGAAATAAGTATTGGCCATAAAACATGCCTTATCAGCCTATGGGCCCTATTCAAACGAAACAACCATATCATAAACTTCAATATGTATAAGCCTAGCTGGTTATAGGAAAGTCCGAAAAAAAAATGAAGATAACAAACCAGTTGTGTCGCCGGTCCTCATTTCTTTTGATTTTTGCTACTACATCCAAAATTTTTAAATCGGTTACTAGTTACAATCTTTTCAAGAACAGGTTTACGTTTTTCTTCAGCCACTACATGTTGACATCGATTATCCTGCATTTGTCATTTCAACCTTTTCAATGCCCTGTAGGCATTTTTGCAGTAAAAAAACCATTACCAAATTAATAAGCAATCATCACTTTGACTGATAAGTTGAGCATGCTAATAGGCCATCAATAAGTTCTTCATCAAATTGTCTGGGTTATTTTGAGGGATTTCGAAATTGTTACTAATGGTTTACTAAAAAACATCACTTCTACAAGTCAGTAAGTTCACGTCAGCATTAAAATAAGAATCTCAATTTACTCCACATGAACTGAACTCCAGATATGTATAGGCCCATCAATCCTGCCCAGTTGAGCTGGGCGGGGATCATCATAACTCAGTCGAGATGGAAATTGTCATCCCCAAGGGTCAACACAGCCCGCTCAGACTTTAGAGCCCTTATTCAAAGTCAGCTTGCTATAGTCCGCATTTCCGAGCAGACCAGAATTAATTTCTGTTTATTGTAGCAGGAGCTTCATCCATTGAGCTGCTCTTCACTCTCTCATACATGTAAAACTCAATTCCAGTCTCAAGAATCAAGAGATAAATAAAACTAAACTTGGACAAGGCGCACTTGATTCGAAATGAAATTTGAGTGGAAATTATTTACTTCCAAAGCACTAAGATGATCTGAAAAAAATAATTTTACTTAGTACATCACTTGGCTAGTACATACTAACATAGTACTAACAAATTATTCTTGAAGAAGGGTTGTTTTTTCCCGGATGATTCATCCCACCATAATGTACTCCTACATATAACACCGGCAACTAAAGTTGAGGATACATACAAAAATCTTCATGTGTGAATAGCCAGGAGGAAAGAAAGGATGGTAAATGATAATGAGAAAAGGTGTTGCATTTGGACGGGTGGACTGAATGGATGAGCGAAAGGTGTCATGCCATAGAGTAGGGAATATCCCCAATCTTGTGTAAGACAACTAAATGCATCTCAAGGTGCTTCCGAGGAACCTTCTCAAGCAAAAGATAGGCAATTAAGAGATAGAGATAGTCTATTCCTTGTGGAGAATCAATCCTCTAAGCCGAATAAAGCTTACCTACGACACCTAGATGAAGACAATCATAACATTGTCTTCTATGCCCCCCCCCCCCCCCCCGGGGCGCCCCTGCGGGGCTCCATACTCATAGCATAGACCATCTATTCCTCTAAGAAGGTAGCACCCCCCCTTACTATCAATACCAATCCCACAGAGAACACCCCAGGGATGAAATTCTTGTTTCTATGCATTATTTCAGTCACCTAGAAAATAAAAACATTTCGACGTGTTTTGAAAATATTTGACACTGTTTTGAAAATAGAATAAAAACAAAAAAAAAATTAAGAATTATTTTTCTAAATCATTGGTCGAAATGTATCAAAGTATCTTGAAATACATTGAAACATTTCAAAACAATTGTACAAATGCATTGAAACATTATAAAATACCTCGAAATATTATAAAACAACTAGAAATATTAGAATTTCGATTTCATCACTGATTTATTTCGGTCTCCTTGAAAACAAAAACATTGCAGACATTTCGACTATTTTGAAATGAAATTTTGATCCTTGTCGACCCGAGCGGTCATAGCCAATTCGCAGAAGTATCTGCAGTTCATGCTTCACCTGCTCCCTTTTCGTTAGAAGTTCTTGTTCTTCCGCCAAAAGTGGTATAAGAGGGGGCAGTCTCTAGTGAAGGAGCTAGGGGAAGGTTGAGATCGGGAAGCAGCTTTCTCTGGAGCATATTAGTTTAGCTACACTTAATAGGCCTGTTTGGCTTCCTCTTTGGCGACCATTTTCCTTACATTACCTCTGCTACACTCACTCCAAGCTACGCCTGTAAAGCAAAATGCCTTTGCGATTATTTGTTAACATTATATATCATCGATCACTGTTGGATAGATTGGTGAGTCATCAAAAAAAAAAATCGAGAACGGTCATGCGGATATCTTTCTTAACGGTTCATTTATGCTATGCCTGCATCGTGTTCATGTGTGTTTATTGAGCTTTCTTCACTTCAGCACTTTACTTCGTTTTATGGAAGAGACCCTTATCTTGAGAGTGACAAGTAAGGACAAGCAATGGAAAGGATAGTTCCTCGCGCAAACTACTAGAAAATGGTGAGGTCATTTGTGAAAGAAGGACCAACGACGATCCTATCCTAAGGGATAAAGGAGGAGTCAGTTTACTTTGAGGATCGAGGAAAAAATCAGATAATTATGTCATTCAGAAGAAGTGTTCTACAAAGAGAAATCCTATTATGAGTAAGTGGAGAGGAAAGATCTCCTCGAAAAAATCAGATAATTATGTCATTCAGAAGAAGTGTTCTACAAAGAGAAAGCCTATTACGAGTAAGTGGAGAGGCAAGATCTCTAACAACTCTTATCTCATTCCATTCTAGTTGCTCATCTAGTAACCAATGGTGAAAACTCAAAAATCCATGGTTTCCCAATAGAACCCTATTTCGTGCAAGTAGATTCAGAACCTAGTACCATATTAATATGGAATTTCTGTGTGTCGAATGGGTAGTCTTTATGTTGCCTGTCCCTAGGGACATCCGTAGGTACACATGTCAAATACGTGTGCTTGTTAAAGTCAGAAATCCTCAAATCCTAGAACCCGTTTCCTCGACATGCTTCAGACCTAAAACTTAAAGCATCGGTAGTTAAAAAAATTATAAAAGGAGAACTGTCTACTGGAACAGAATGTCCAGTTAAATAAATAAATAAATAAACAAACATAGAGGTAATAAACAGAAAAATATACCACTTTCTAAGCCTGTTATTTGACATTATAGCAAATAAAAAAAAAAGGGGTAAAAGGGCAAATATTTTATTTGAAATGATGGGAACTTGAGGTTTACTATGTACAGCAACAATTACGACTCAATGCTTTGCTTTATTTTCTCCTGGGTGCTCCTATATGAAGTATCTAGTACCCCAGCTCATAATCCTTTTAGACTATGGCCTCCAGCAACCCATTCCAACTTAATTTCAATCTCCAGCAAAAATGAATCACGAGAGGTAAGTAACTTTCCTTCTCATCACTCATTTCTGTTTACCTTTTCTTCTTCTTTCCACTATCTGCATACCCTTTTAAGCTTCTCTTCTTCCACTCTGTTACAGGGGTACACCAGCTATTCATGTCATGTCTTGCACCTGCACTAGATGTGATGCCGTCTCAACACCGACAATTCTGAAAACCTCTTTTGCAAGTGACCTTCTAATTCTTATTTTGAAAGACCTGCCCTTAAAAATGCCCACAAACAACCAAAATTAATCGAAAGTCTAACAAGTGTTTTCTTTTAAATGGGCTCACTCCCGCTTTTCTTTCTCGTTTTATAATTAATATATCCTACTAATAAAGGGAGAGGAGGGGGTTTGAGTCCATGTCCGAAATATCCTTTATTGTTTCTTAAATAAGTACTCGTAACTCCCTCTTTAACTCTATCTAACCATCTCCATTCATGAACTATCAATACTACCCTTCATTTCGCCCAAATAACCAGTCAACTTTCTTTTTAGTTTTATTTAACTGCCTAATTCTCTCTTCACATGTGTAACCATGTGGACTGGATGTCTAGTTTTCTTTTATGACACACACGTGGACAGAGTGTCCCCATGTACTATAACTTAGAAATGGATGGCTCAGAAACCTAGACACACACCGCACACACCTGGCCAGTCCCTGACTCCATACACCATGGACCATTCGAGAACGTATAACATAAAGAAACTGAAATAAGATGCTGTCAACCAGAAATATGTATCTTTTCCCAATTTTCTACAAACACCTTTTATTTTGCTTCTCTAGAACATTTTTGTGAAAAAATTTCTGATATAGTGACTCATTTTGTGTCTTAGGTACTTTAACAAAATAGAATTAGTGGAGCTAGTAAATTTTCCAACAAATCAAGTGTCTAGAAAAAACATCTCTTGATACGGGAGGCTCTTTCATATAAAGTGTACGACAAAGCTGGAAGTTGTAGTCTAATCAGAATTAAACCAGTCACATCACATGTTTATTGTGGCAATCAGGGTTATGCACAAACTTGACACTAGTCCATTTATGCATACAAAAGTGAAAATAAAGCGACATATCGTATTTCATAAAATGGCATTATAATGTCTAATCCAAACATCCCATCTATAAGCTATCCAAACCCATATAGTTCTATTTGGAACACGAGTGCCTGTCCAATTCTAGATCACTGTTAGAGATGAAATTTCAGACCAACACCGAGTCCAACATGAAATCAACTCAAAGTGC